TAGATAGATAGATAGATAGATAGATAGATAGATAGATAGATAGATAGCAGAAGTAAGGAGTGCTTATAATTGTCCCAAAGGCTCCAAGACATCCTGTGCTCCACACCCTGATCTTGATCTCTACCTTCCCTTTCTTATCTTTCTCTGGACCCTGGATCTTCACATATGAATTCCTGGGTTATGTGGGAGAACCTAGAGGTGATTAGAGGGGTACATGTCTAATCCTTGATGGAGAGTTGTAGGTGATAGTCCACCTTCTACATTCTAGCATGTTGCCAGTTTCCCACAATCCCTTTCTCCTATACTCTCCATAGCCACTTCTACAAAGATATTTTGCTTTGCTCCTTTTACAGGTGAAACTATTGGCCTTTCTACGTGAGTCTCCATTGACACCCATTTAGTAAAGATTAGTATCTGTCTGTTTCCCTATCCAACTTATCATCACTGTGGGGTTTAAGTGATGAAAGATTATAAGTTAACTTTGTCATTAAATTTTTAAAAAGTTTTTGTTTCTCTTTAGCTTTGACAATTACAAACCCAAAAAACGGCCACTGGTTATATTCCATTATTTAAGTGGCCAAGAAACCACTGCCTATGACCATTATTGTCCCAAGAATATTGCTACCTATGCCATGAGAGCTATTTAAAATTGTCATTAAGATTCTTGTTTTCTTACTATCTTAAGCCTTTGGAGAATGAATGGTGAGAGAGTGCTTATGTTCAGGGCCAGTCAGATGGTGCAGTGGATAGAGTGCTGAGCCTAGAGTCAGGAAGACTCATCTTTGTGAGTTCAAATCTGGCTAAGACACTTACTAGCCATGTGACCCTAGGCAAGTCACTTCACCTTGTTTGCCTCAGTTTCCTCATCTGTAAAATGAGCTGAAGAAGGAAATGGCAAACCACTCCAATATCTCTGCCAAGAAAACCCCAAATGGGGTCACAGAGAGTCAGACATGATATAATAACAAAAAATATCTAGTAAGACTGTTCATCCTTCCTCCTTTACCATTTTGGCAATGACATGCTTATTTTGTCCCTAGGTCGATAAAACTCAGGGATTGGGAATCCAATTGGATGAGGGGAGATCTATTTGACCTTTCAATCCTGCGCTGTATGGAACAGTTATTCTGCTCCTGCTCCCAGCAATATCAGCCCACTGCTAGTTTGAAAGCCAATGGACTGCTTTGCTCTAACTCTTCATGGGTCGATACAGGACTAAGGTTAACCATTTTTGAACCTGAAGCAACAAGGAATTCTACTATTCTTTCACCTTTTCTTCCTACTTCCCTTTCTGCTATCTTCTGGATTTCTCAATAGGATTATTAAATCTTGGCCTATCTCTAAGTTTTCCTTTAGAAAATCCCTAAATTAATTGAATGAATGAACAAATGAATGCATGAAAAGCATTTTCTTAAGGGCTGTGTGTGAAGCACTGTGTTAAACCCTGAGGATAAAAATACAAAAATAGGACAGTCCTTGCTTTCAAGAAGTTCATATTCTAATAGAGGGAGACAATACATATTGAGGAGTGGAGGACAAGGAAGGAAGTTTTGGCTTGGGAAGAGCCAAGTGAGAGAGGAGTTGAAATCACCCACTTTTTCAGAAGCAATAGTAGGATTGATTTGATTACAATTTCTATAGCAAAGGGTATAAAGTGAGAGGAAAGAAAGATGGCATATAGTAGCTTGGTGATATAATGGAGTGCTGGACCTACAGTCAGAAAGACCTGAGTTCAAATCTGACTTCATCCACTAACTAGCTATGACCTTGGGCAAGTCACAACCCCTGACTGCCTCAGTTTCCTCATCTGTAAAATAGAGATGATAATATTAGCACCAACCTCCCATGGTTGTTGCAAGGGTAAAATGACATATTTGCAAAGCATTTTACAAACCTTAAAGTATTATATGCTAGCTGTTGTTATTAGGTAAACAATGGAGTGAATGACTGGATGGAATGGGAGGCATGGTATGGGACTGGTTAAGTATAACTGGATATGGAAATCTGGGCTCACTTACTGGGCCACAGCCATATGGTTTGGGAGGCAAACATAGAGAAATAATCTAACTTCATGGAAGATGTGGGAGGATATGGAGTGAAGAGTTCTAAATTCTAGTTTAACTGCCATTTGCTGGTTGTGTGGTCTTGGGTAAGCCATTTAACTTGTCAGTTTCCTCATCTGTAAAAAAAAGATTAATATGTGAAAGTACAAAGTCCTTATGAGAGCCATTATAATCTTGCTTATTTCATTCTCTTTTAAAAAGGCTTGAGTAGTAGGTGACTTAGTAGCCACTCTGCAGGAAGAAAAGTTAAATTGCTATGAATTCATTTGTGGAATATGAAGATTGAAATCTAATTAGATATATAGTTTGTAAATTTGTTACAAGAGACTTATTTTGTATTTCCCTTTATCAATTGGAGGGAGGGAAAGAAAATAAATTCTTGGCATAATGTATAGAGCATTGGGCTTAGAATCAGGAAGACTCATTATTGTGAGTTGAAATCTAGCTTCAGACACTTACTAGTTGTGTGACCCTGGACAAATCACTTAACCCTATTTGCCTCAGTTTCCTCATCTGTCTAATGAACTAGAGAAGAAAATGGTAAACCATTCCAGTATCTTCGCCAAGAAATGCCAAATGGAGTCCCAAAGAGTAGGATATGACTGAAAAACTAACCATGCATTTTTAAAAATAATAATTTAAAAAATTAAAGTAAAAAAATCTAACTCAATCCAGAAAGAAATGGATTTTGTTAACATTTTTATTGCTACATGCTCCCCAATACAACAAATAGCATCAGTAGTGTACACTTCTATGAACAAGAAATTTGAGCTTGGTACAAAAGAAAGTCTACAGATTTGGAATGGAAATAATATGTACATCTTTATTGGAGGTGCATGTATGCCCACATAGACCTGCATATGCCCCTGTGTATATAGACAAATGCTGACATCTCAGCATCATAGAGAGAGTTGTGTTTCTGGACCAGCATGAGGAAAAAATAAACATCTTATTGGTCTGCTTGAGGCTCAGGGACGATCTTTAAAAAAAAAACACAAAATCTACAGCTCATTAAATTACTTTGACCTTCAGATGGCTTGCATAAAGCAGCAGCAGTTTGTGAGAGGTACTGAGTTAATGTTGAGTGGGCTAGCTTACAAAGTCCACATGAGAAAGAGCACCATGAGCCACACATTTCCCAGTCTTTCTGGTATTAACCAAGCTCCATTCGAGTTTACGTTAGGTATGCCTGCACTGATAGATGGGGTATGGATCTCTGCTCAACCAGCTGATCTGGAAAATCACAGTTCTTAAACTTGTCATTCTCTCTCTTACTTTCCAAAATGCAACTCATTCAACCATAATCTAGGTCACAGCCCCATTTAATACTATGAATTCACCATTTTGTTGAACTGTATTTTCATCTTAGGTTGTCATAGGATGAAGCATTTTTTGGTTGATGGTTGTTTTTTGATTTTTTGAAGGTGAGTCTCATCAAAATTTGATCAACTAACTTTAAAAATGTGAGATGTTTGTCGTCACCGTGAGATTTTTTTCTTCTCAAATTAAGTTCAAGGATTCAACTACAGTAGTTTAGTTAGCTTAAATTTCTGTTCTAGGTATACAGTATAACATATGTTTCTAATTAGATCTCTCTATTTTTTTTACCACAATGTCACTGCTATTAGTGTAAATATTTATTACATAAAAATACTATCAAGAAAACATCAACTTTTAATAAATATCTTCAGTTCTGAATTCTATATACACGTACTTTACATCTGCTAGCTAGTGTGGTTGACTTTCTGGTAGGAAAGGTGATGATGGACACAAATTATTCATATGTTATTGGATTTGCACTTAGATGAATAATAGTGGGTGCTATCACAAATTGTTCTGAATCCATGTCTCCATTTCATCTTTTAACTGATGTTTTCTCAAATGTCCTCTCTCTCCCAAGCCCTGCTTTTGCCACGTGCTCTTGGCAATGCACATGAATGCCTCTTTTGAACTAGTGATGCTTTTCTCGACTTGCAGGGGTCAAACAAGTGCCTCTTCCCATTGTGAATGTCACAGTTTATCAAGTACCCAGATGACTACTCTCCAGACCTCAGAACATAAGCTGTTTAGATTTCCTGGGAAAAGCATGAAAAATGGGAAGACACATGGCTACCCAAACTCACATAGTGCTTGGTGAAACCAAGATGGTCAAGCTCTGCTTGGCTTACACACAGGAACATCCGCATTTAGAGCTTTCTCTATTGCCTGTGACTGTCCACGGACTTTCAATGCTATTTTGGACTGGAATTTCTATATCTCATGTTTAATTTTTTTTAAAGCATCACATCGTTGACCCAATCAAACCCGTTGCATTTCCAGTTCTCTCCAATTCGTATCAAACTGGATGTCCTCTATAACACGGGCTGTTTTAAAATCAATTGGTGGAATGTCAATAAGGCAGTCAGTACGCAATGGCTGGCACCTAGAATATTTAGAAATGTAATAGAGTAAACAATTGTTTGAGAACGTATCTCTTAAAATAATACTGATTTTGCAATATACAGTATTTACACAACAGCTGCAAATTTGCTCATATAATATCTGTTATATAGATAAATAGGAATACAAGTCTTATGGATTCTCTTGTTCCATTTCCAAAATATTCTGTGGACATGTAAACATTTCATACCTCTGGTTTATTTTTTTACATGTGATTTTTTAAAGAATAAAAAATCAGCTGACGTGCAAAATTGGTTGCAGCCGCCCTTTTCTGAGTAAGGGAAAGGCTGATACACTCAGCAACTCACTTTCACTTCTGCTAAAAATCTTTGGTGCCTTCTTCCAATGAATTCAAGCTAATCAGACAATGGAGAATGAAAGCAGTTAGAAAGTGAACCAGCACTTTTCACTCTTCCATTTACACGTAAAATGAATGAGTTGATGACCTGTGGAGAGTTCTGCTTTCAACAAAAGCAATATGCACCATGGGGTGTCCAGAATTTTCTATGGTTTCCACCCTTTCCAAATGAGTTTTCTCATCTTTCCACTGTGGATGGTCTTAAAGGATGTCTCTTGTCAGTTGTCTTCTCATTCTTCCTTGAGGTTCTCACTGGAGATAAAGCACCTGAGGACGCATTTATTGCCACTGGAGGAGATGCCACCTGAGAAGAGGAATCGAAACTCTGACCTTTGGGAGAAGGTGAGGATGGTTCTTGGTCAGGTCTCAAGGTCTTGCTCTCTGGTTGGGGAGCTCTTCTCTGGGGGATGTTAGCACCATTAGGTTTATTGTCTGTGTATACATGTGAGTTCTCTTCAGTAGAAGGCATCTTACTCGGAGATTTCTTCTTAATTGTCGGTCCCACCCGATAAGGTGTCAGAGGTGTTGGCATTACTAAGGATCTAGGGAAGTCACTGGGGTGATAAATTGCACCATCACTAGTTTCAGCAGCATCTGTAAGGTAGGGTGGGGCAAGCGTACTACCACGCTTGCCGCAAGACTCACAGCAGAGTTTGTTATAACCTGGAATAGAACAATACCGTGCCAGCACCTCCATTTGACAAAAGATTGACTTGTCTCCCAAGCATGGCTCATCTGTACACAAAACAGAAAAGGACAGAGAGTTTGAGTAAACATTAGAAAAGATTTAAGTGAGTCGAGCAATGCTAAGAACTAACCAAATGGAATTTTCATCGTGATACATAAGAATTTACGAACCAATTCACAGGGATGAGTATTTATATGCTTAACAGCCTACAATGAACACAGTTCAGGTCAGTGTTCAATAAGCACCAGGGCTAAGCTCTATCTTGACTCCTTCAGCTTTCTACTCAGTCCCTGGAGGCCCTTCTCAATAGTAATATGTGGCTCATTGTCTAATAGAAGTTTGGGGAAAAACAGGTTCCATTTGATAATCAACTTGGCAAGAATGCATGTAATCTATACAAAGGTATAGCCAAAGGGTAGGCAGAAATGTATTTCTAGTAGCTTGTTTTGTAAAAAGAACCATAAATGACACAAATAAAATGAAACAGATAAGGAAATATACTTAAGAAGCAACTGAAAGTTATTCAAAACATCATCCTGATTAAAAGATCTTTCTTAATTAAAATTTCAACGCAATTCATTTCAATGAACATTTGTTAGCTGTTTGCTTTGAGATGGGTATATTAATGCTCTCAAGTTGGATGTTGTTATCCAGTCATTTGCAGTCATGTCTGACTCTTATTGACTGCATTTGGGGTTTTCTTGGCAAAGATACTGGAGTGGTTGGCCATTTCCTTCTCTAGCTCATTTCAAAGATGAGGAAACTGAGGCAAACATGGTTAAAGTAACTTTCCCAGGGTTGCACAGCTAGTAAGTATCTAAAGTTGGATTTTAACTCAGGCATCTTCCTGACTCTAGGCCCCAGGCTCTATCCGCTGGGCCACCTACCTGCCCTCATTGAGTTTTATAAAAGCACCTACTTGGGAAAATGAATCAACTACGTCTGGGAAGAAATTTTCTCTTAAAAGCAAATGAATTCCATTTGGTCTTCGTGTGATTGACGTCACCTGTATCTTCAAACAGACTAATGACTAACCCAGCAATCAGCTAAGGAGGTTTTGTGAGCCTTTTAAAACAATAGCCATAGAATTCTTGCATTTATTTTTTTTCTTTCCATTTTTTTAGGCAATTGGGGTTAAGTGACTTGCCCAGGGTCACATAGCTAGTAAGCGTCAAGTGTTTGGTCTGAGGCCAGATTTGAACTCAGGTCCTCTTGACTTCAGGGACGGTGCTCTATCCACTGCATCACCTACCTGCGCCTTTTCTTTCCAATTTTAAGGATGCAAAAGGAAGACTATGTATGTCAGGGTATCCATCTTTCACCTCAGACCCCATCTTCCAATGTACAGCATAGTAAAGACTTAATTTCAATGTATTTTTGATGGTTCTATCATGTAGTACTTTTAATTTGGGTTAATTTTGAATAACTGTCCTCTCCCCACACCCTAAAGAAGAACCTATCATATATAAACAAAACCATACTATTGTGGAAGTAGTGAAATACATGGCGATAGAGTCAGAGCAATGTGGTTTTACTTGTACCTCTGACACTTATGATCCTGGTCAAGACACTTAACACTAGGGGCCTCAGTTTCCTCATTTGTTCAAGATCTGTGCTATGATTCTATTTCCCACAGTTCAAAAGAGAATAAGAAGGGAAGAATGAGGTTTCATGAATGATAGACAGTGATTCCTAGTGTTTGATACACACACACATACACACACATATCCGTGTGTGTGTGTGTATTACAACCCCTATTAATTCTAATGTCTTCCCTCTGTGAATTTCTTCCCATTTATCCTGTATAAAGCTTGCTTTGTATAGTTTTGTTTTGTTTTTTTTTTTTGCATATCGTCTCTCCTTGAGGGCAGGGATTGTCTTTCACCTCTTTCTGGGTCTCCAGAGCTTAGAATAGTGCCTGGCACATAGTAAGTGCTTTAAAAAAGTTTACTGGTTACTAAAATATTCAACATATACCAAATACTAGTATTTCATATGTAAATGCTAAACTAAATACTGGAGTGTTTAATTTAATACATGTATACACATACATATACAAAAGTTCACAGATATGTATGTATAGACATATCATAATAACACTTGAGGTCATTGGAGAACACTTTGGAGTAACCCAAACAACCTTGGAAATGACTCAAATACAGCAACTGAAAATATTTTTATTTTCTGAAACCTTTCACTTTTTACCTTGTACGTATTCTGCTTTTTTTTAACTTATGTTCATATTGCATCCCCTCTTCTCTTACTAAAATGCGAGCTGCTTGGAGGAAGTATTACTTATTTTTTACCATTATATTCCCCCAGGCCCAGTAGAGGAAAGACTGCGACAAAGTAGGTGTCTGAATAGTGTTGTTTGAAATAAACTGAACTGAGTCATATTGTTTTGAGCACACTTTTAAATAAGATAATCTCTTATCACCAGATTTTTTTTTCCAGTTTAATTTTTTCCTGCAGATTTGTGATCTCTATGGCCTTTTCCAGCTATTAACCTATAAAGATACTATAAAGACATCTTTAAAATTATAAGCATGGACATCAAAGATTCCTTCTAGCCCAAAGTCTGAAAGCCTGTGGATAAGGTAATGTCATCTGAGCTAGGATACAATAGATCTCTATCTAGCTTAAGGACCTGCTGAGGATGAAGGAAAAGGAATGTCTGAAAAGAATTTTCTCAAAAAGGAAACCTATAGGGGAACATAGTTTGTATTTGTTTATCTAATGAGAATTAGTACAGATCAAGAAGTTAAGAAACAGTAATTAAAATGGCACTTTTGTAGCATAGCACAGTAGAAAGAGGGGGCAGCTAGGTGATGCAGTGAACGGACCACAAGGCCCAAAGTCAGGAAGACTCATCTTCCTGAGTTCGAATCTGGCCTCAGACATGTATTGGCTGTGTGACCCTGGGAAAGTTGCCTAACCCTGTTTGCCTCAGTTCCTCATCTGTAAAATGAGCTGGAGAAGGAAATGGCGAACCACTCCAATCTCTCTGCCAAGAAAACCCCAAACAGGGTCACGGAGTCCTATATGACTGAAAGAACCAAGCAACAACAGTGGAAAGAACTCTGACTTGGGGATCAGAGAACTTGAGCTGAAATCTGAGCTCTGATAATAGTTTCTGTGTGGCCTTGGTCAAGTTACTTAATTTAGCCTCAGCTGCTTCTTCTGTTGGAGAAGGAGATTGGACCAAAGGACCTCTGAGTTCCCTTCCAGACTTCTGGCTATGATCCTATCTCTTTGAGAACAATGAACTTCAGTCCTTTTCAACAGCAGAGACTGAGAAATGGATGTATGGAGTGGCTAGCTTCCGGAACTATTGTTTATCTTATCTCACTCTCTCCTTAAAAAGCTACAGTCTTTCCGAGGTCTAGACAAGACCAAGCTGGGTTTTGAATGGGGAGTGAGGAGGGAGAATTTTTTTTTTTTGCATGGACTACATTTGAGCCTGGAATTCATTACTCATTAATACATTTCCATCTTACCACTTCATCTATTGTACAAAGTAAACATGTAAACTTTGGTTAAAGAGTACCTGAATTATAATGACGTGAGATGATAACAACATATTTATTGGAAGGTAAAAGAGTACAAAATTACAGTATTCCCCACCGAATTGGGTGGAGCTGTCTGGATTGGTAAAGAGTGATTTGTAAGGCATTTGGTATTCTACCACTAATGATGGATATTTAAAATCCCTTCCAACTCTCAAATTCAATTTTTTTTTAAAGATAAAAGTGAAAAGGTTTTGTTTTTTACTAAAATAATAAGATTTATAACTTCTGACTCTGAAAATTGATCTGCAGCTTTGAAAATGTTCCTGTTGAACTAGCCATTTCAAGTATACGTTTTTCAAGTAAAAATATTTCAGAACACCACTAAATATTGATACACTCTGACTTCCCCTGGTGTTCCTTTCATGTCTATACGATAGTATATATTAAAATGAAATCTGCTCAAAATATTTTTCCTCCTGAAAATGAACTAGCAAAGGAAAAACCACCACAAGAGATTGCCTTTACCCACTTACTTTAAAAATGACAGAAAACATTGCTCAGCAGGTGAAGATAGTTTAGGTCAGGGACAGACAAACTCCTTTAGCCCAGAGTCCTACCAATGAGGCTAAACAATGCTATTGGGTACCATTGGCAGGTCTAAGAAAGAGACAAGAAAGTAGATGGAGGGAGACAGGGAAAGAGAGGCATATGAAAGGAAGGAAGGAAGGAAGGAAGGAAGGAAGGAAGGAAGGAAGGAAGGAAGGAAGGAAGGAAGGAAGGAAGGAAGGAAGGAAAGAAAAAAGGAAAGAAGGAAGGAAGGAAGGAAGGAAGGAAGAAAGGAAGGAAGGATGGATGGATGGAAGTCAGTCAGTCAAGAGAAGAGCACTTTGGTCAGGTAGGATTAGAATGTGAGTAGCCTAGATACATAGCCCAAGGACCAGCCTAACTACTAGCTCTGATCAGAATTTGTAAATTCAAAGAATTGGTGACAATCATCATAACTGATTCATCCAAGTATCTTCTTCAGAAACAAAAATTTTCATCTGGATAATAATATCCATAAAGGAAACAAAGGATTTTTTAATATAGTAAAATCATTCAGCTTTTCAGTCATTGCAAAAAAGGCAATGTAGATGAGGAACATGTGGCTATAAAGTATACATTGGGAAATAGGTGTAGGGAAGTATATTGCAGATCCATTCCTTAAGGGAATGCATGTTTTGGTAAAAAAAAAATTGAAAAATGCTTTAGCTTCATAGGGAGGATTTTTTTACATGAGAAAATCTGTACATTTCAAAGTTCTCATTTACTGAAACAAGGAAAATGCATACACATAACTATAGAAAGAGGTGCCTATTTCTTCATATATACACATATGTATATATTGAAAGCTTCTATAAATGTTTTATAAAGTCCCATAAGGTCCACCTGGAAAGGTAACCAATCAGTCTTCTCCTTACAGTATATGATAAGGAATGAAGATGAACTAACAAATTTAAAACGTTACCATCGGAGCATATCACCAAATCTGAGCCATAACTGTTATTGCTTGTCTCCTTTTACATTTGTGCAGGAGAGGCTCTGGGCAGCAAGGTGGCACCATGGATAGAGCACTGGGCTTGGCATCAGGAAGACCTGAGTTCAAATCCAGGAGGTAGTGGATCCAGGAAGACAGAAGGATCTGGCATTCTACAGTACATGGTGTTGTGAAGGGTCAGACATGAGCAAATGATTGAACAACAAGAAGGATAGGATCTTGTTATCCCTTGCGCAGGAATATTGTGGGGGACTTGGTAATGACTTTCCCACCAATAGGATGAAAATCCAACACAGTAAAAATGGTAGTGACTTTCCCACCAATAGGATGAAAATCCAACACAGTAAAAATGCAGGGTAGTGTTGCTACATAGAGGGATTCACAGGCATCTTTACTATCCCCACAGTCAGTTTCATTGACAGATTTCCAAATCTGGCACATGTTACACACTGATCGTAGTAACCTTCCATAACGTTCTCAGCATTCAGACAATACATTGAGCAGAAGGTCCCACAGCACAACAAGAACAGACTAAGTTAAAAATAGATGACACAAGCCTACAGGACCACCAGCAAACAGGGATGATGTCACTCTTTTGCATCCACACTCATTAACTCATATAGGGATTGGCTAAGATATAAACCTTGCAAATAAACTTATCAGACTGATTTTGATAGAGTATTATGTGGTTGGCACCAGTAAGCTAATAAAAACCCTGGCCCTTATACTGAGTGGAAACTTTTATCTAGACTCTAAACTAACCTTTATCAATGCAATAAAATATTTTAATGCCACACATACCATTACAAGCAGCAAGCTTACAGACTCTCACTGAGATGGGTTTTTCGCCATTACATTGGTCTCCAGTCTTGCAGATGACTTGTCTTGTCTCTGTTCCTTCACCGCAAGTTACCGAACACTGAAGAAGCAAAGGCATGAGTCGTGAATGATTCTGCCAAGATAGACTGTGTCCTACCTCCTAATGCACACACACACACACACACATGCACACACGTGCATCTGGCGTGTGACTTCTACCTCTTACAAGCCACTGAAATGGTTTTGATAACTCTATTGGGCAAAATACTATAAAGTTTAAGGTACCTCCCCAAGCCCCGTTTAAGCACACCAATTTCAACTTAAATAACTAGAGGTGAAGCTTCTTTTATTTTTTTTTTTTGTTTTCAACATTTACTTCCACAAGATTTTTAGTTCCAAATTTTCACCCCATCTCGCCCCTCCCCCCACCCCAAGGTGGCATGCATTCTAAATACCCCCTCCCCTAGTCTGCCTTCCCTTCTATCTCTCCCCCCCTTCTCTTATCTCCTTCCCCTTCAATTTTCTGGTTGAGCAGGATGGATTTCTGTACCCCATTTCCTGTATTTCTTATTTCCCAGTTGCATGTGTTTTTAAAACTTTGGGTTCCAAATTTTCTCCCTTCCTCCCTCCCTGCCCACCCTCATTGATAAGGCAAGCAATTAAATATAGGTTATATATGTGCAAAACACTTCCATAGTAGACATGCTGTGAAAAACTAACTCTATTTCCCTTAATCCTATCCCACCCACCGATTTATTCTATTTTTTCTTTTGACCCTATCCCTCCTCAGAAGTATTTGCTTCTGATTACCCCCTTTCCCAATCTGCCCTCCTCTCTATCATCCCCCTATTCTTTTGGCCCCTTCCCCCCCCCCCCACCATTTTCTTGTAGGGTAAGACAGATTTCCACATCCAATTGAGTGTGTATGTTATTCCCTCCTTAAGTCAAATCCTATGAGAATAAGATTCACTCATTCCCTCTCACCTTCCCCTATTACCCCTCCACTGTAAGAGCCTTTTCTTTTCTGTTTTTTTTTTTGTGGGATAATTTACCCTATTCCACCTCTCCCTTTCTCCTTCTCCTAGTATATTCCTCTCTCACCCCTTAATTTTATTCTTCAGATATGACCCCTTCATTTTCAACTCACCCTGTGATCTCTATCTATCTACCTATATCTATATATACGTACATATAATTTTTCCCCTCCAACTACCCTAATACTGACAAAGGTCTCATGAGTTACAAATATCTTTCCATGCAGTAATGTATACAGTTCAACTTTAATAAGTCTCTTATGATTTTCTCTTTCCTGTTTACCTCTTCATGTTCCACTCGAGTCTTGTATTTGAAAATCAAATTTTCTATTCAACTCTGGTCTTGTCATCAAGAATGTTTGAAAGTCCTCTATTTCACTGAATGACCATGTTTTCCCCTGCAGGATTATACTCAGTTTTGCTGGGTAGGTGATTCTTGGTTGTAATCCTATCTCCTTTGCTCTCTGGAATATTATATTCCATGCTCTGCAGTCCCTTAATGTAGAAGCAGGTAAATCTTGTGTTATCCTGATTGTGTTTCCACAATACTTGAATTATTTCTTTCTGGCTGCTTGTAATATTTTCTCCTTGATCTGGGAACTCTGGAATTTGGCTACAATATTCCTAGGAGTTTTCCTTTGGGGATCTCTTTCAGGAGGAGATCGGTGGATTCTTTCAATTTCTATTTTGCCCTCTGGTTCTAAAATATCAGGACAGTTTTCCCTGATAATTTCTTGAAAGATGATGTCTAGGCTCTTTTTTTGATCATGGCTTTCAGATAGTCCAATAATTTTTAAATTCTCTCTCCTGGATCTATTTTCCAGGTCAGTTGTTTTTCCAATGAGATATTTCACATTGTTTTCTAATTTTTCATTCTTTTGGATTTGTTTTACAGGGTCTTGATTTCTCATAAAGTCACTAGCTTCCAATTGCTCTATTCTAATTTTTAAGGACATATTTTCTTCAGTAAGCTTTTGGACTTCCTTTTCCATTTGGCTAATTTTGCTTTTTAGGGCATTCTTCTCCTCATTGGATTTTTGAACCTCTTTTGCCATTTGGGTTAGGCTATTTTTTAAGGTGTTATTTTCTTCAGTATTTTTTTGGGTCTCCTTTAGCAAGCTGTTGACTTGTTTTTCATGATTTTCTTGCATCACTCTCAGTTTTTCCTCTACTTCTCTTACTTGATTCTCAAAATCCCTTGAGCTCTTCCAAGGCCTGGGACTGATTTGTATTTTTCTTGGAGGCTTTGGATGTAGGAGCTTTGGCTTTGTTGTCTTCTTCTGGTTGTATATTTTGATCTTCTTTGCCACCAAAGTAAGATAATATAGTCTGACTCTTTTTGTGCTAGTTACTCATGATCCCAGCCAATTACTTGAGTTTTAAACCCTTTGTTAAGGTAAAAGTCTGCTTCCAATGTGAAGAGTGTACTGTCCCAGGCTTCAGGGGTTTGTACAGCTGTTTTCAGAGGTACTTCTAGGGACCTGCAAATTTTCAGTTATTCCAAGGTGCTATGATAAGGGGTGAGGTGTTTTCTCTCCACCACCATAACAAGCTCCACCGCACCAGCATTCCTCCTCAGGACCACCCCTCAGAACTGTGACCCAGATCTAAGTACTGGTAAAGCAAGAGATTCCTGCCTCAGCACTGGCAAAGAGATCCCTGCAATCCTCCTCTGATCAGCCACTTGATTCCCCCTCAGTCTGTGGTCCGGAAGCTCAGGAAAAAGCCGTGGCCCTGGGCCATGCTCGAGACTTGAGGCTGAGACCTAGCTCCTCTCTCACCTCAGTCACAGACTTTTCCCACTGACCTTCTTAGTTGTCTTTGGCGTTCAGGGGTTGAGAAGTCTGGAAACCACCACAGCTGCCCCCGATTCAGTCCTTTGAGGCCCGCTCCAGGGTCGCTGCGGCCTGTGCGCCCACGCTGAACTGTGCTCCTCTCCCCGCCCAGCACGATATACCTTTCTGATCAACCAACCAGGCTGTCTTTGGCTGGAAATTTGTTTCACTCTGTCTTTTTGTGGGTTCTGCTTCTTTAGAATTTGTTTAGAGCCATTTTTTTAGGTATTTGGAGGGCTTTGGGAGAGAGCTCAAGACAGTCACTGCTTTCCCTCTGCCATCTTGGCTCCATCCCTTGAACCGAGGTGAAGCTTCCTAGATGATCTCAGAGCACCTTTAACGTCACATCCATTATCTCATTTGATTCTTATAACAATCCTGTGAGGTAGATGTTACATGTTGCTAAAGACCCCCATTTTACAGATGAAGGAACAGGCTCATAGAGGTTAAAAACCCTGCCCTGAGTCATCTTACAGCCCCTGCTATTGCACAAACTGAACATGTTAACCTTTGGTTAAAGGGCAGTGAGTGTTAGAGGGAATATTCAATTCTAGGTCTCACTTGACTCTGAATTCAGAAGGGACTCTACTATGCTCACACATATAAAGGCAAAATGAAATGGCTGTGGGAAGTTAGAAATTAGAAGTTTACCCCAATATCAAGGGAGGTAGGTGATTCAGGACATAGAGCCCTGGGTTTGGAGTCAAGAAGCCCTGAGTTCAATTGCAGTATTAAACACTTAGTGTGTGACCCTAGGCAACTTACTTAACCTGATTATCACAGTTTCCATTTTACAGTCGAAGAAACTGAGGCAAACAAAGATTAAGTGACTTGCCTAGGGTCATACAGCTGTCTAACCATGCTAACCATTATGCTGCCTAGCCATCTCAAGGCAGCTCACCTTCCTGGTCACTCATAGATGTTCTACTTAAACTGTTTCATCAAGAACAGAACACAAAAGCTCTGGATGAGGTCTGCAGGCAAAGTACAGTGTGTCCATCACTCCCCTATTCCTGGAAGCTATTCATCTCAACACATTCTGAGATTTCAGTAGCTTTTTGCTTGCCACATTGAGTTTGAAGTTAATTAAAACCCTTGGTTCATTGTTTTGGGGCGGAGGGGTAGTGAGAAAATATTTTCTTGATGTCTCTTGTCTTTACATGAGTCATTTCTCCCCTGACCCCCTCAAGTTGAGACCTTCCTTTATGATAAATAAAATCAATGAAACAGAAATATCTGATAACAGTGGCAGCACCCAACAAGGCCAGCATTATTCTGCCCTCATTCTCCAAGACTTTGATTGGTTTCAACTTCCTTTTAGTGATTTTGTAATTTACAGTGTTGTAGTCATTTTTTATTGGTCCCTGGGTTCTATTTATCTTATGTTGATTTGGCTCATACAAACCTTCTCAATGCTTCCCTAAATTCCTCTTATTCATAATTTCTTATTGTACAATAACAATCCATTACATTTATATAATAGTTTTAAAAGCTACTTCTCAGTCAATGGGTATCTACTTTGTTTTCAATTCTTTGCTAACCCAAAGAGAGCTTCTGTGAATATTTTAACACATATTGGATCTCTGTTTCTGTCTCTGACTTCCTGGAGACATATATCCTGTAGGGAGATTGCTGGATCAAAAGGTATAGATAACTTAGTCACTTTCCTTGAATGATTCTAAATAGACATGGAGAGCAGTGGCACCACCACATAGCTTGACCCAGAGTGCCCTGATCTGCCTGGACCATAGACCAGCTAGCCCATTTTTTTTGGTCATCTCTGCCAGTTTGCATGGTGTTAGGTGAAATGTCAGAATTATTTTAATTTGTATTTCTCTGGCTATAAGTGATTCTGAGTATGTTTTCAGTGAATCATTTGTAGGTTACATTTCTTTTGAAAACTATTTACTCATATCCTTTGGCCACTAATCCGTTGAAGAAAGGCTCCTGCTACTATATATTTGTATAAATAACCAATATATTTTAGATGTCAGATTTTTTATCCATGATATTTGAAGCTAATATTGTTTCTACTTTATAGTCTCTCCATTTCTATTTTCATTGATCTTATTTTTTCAAGTGTTTTAATTTTAAGTAATCATTCTCTCATTTATCTGCTATGATCTCCTTTATCCCTTGTTTAGTTCAGAATTATTGCCACAGATATACTTCTGAAAAGTGCTGGATAGCCATATTTTCTAAATTTTTAATGGCATGATCTTTTATAGGTC